ATCTATCTATCTATCTATCTATCTATCTATCTATCTATCTATCTATCTATCTATCTATCTATCTATCTATCATGTATCTGTCTAATAATATATAGTGATTCTTCTGATATAAATAACATAATCCAACTTTTTTACCTGAAATAAGATTATTGCATAATCGGGATTTGAAGAAAAGAGTAGAATTTCATTAAGATGTGAAGATAAAAAGCAGGAAACTGCTTGGTTCTGATGCGAAAGGAACATTTCTCTCTGCGTGGAGAAAGCATGCATATTTGATTTGTCCCAAGGAATGTGAGATGGAATCACAGCTCTGAAATATGATCGTAAATGTTTCTTCTTACATTTTCTAATGGATAATGCCTGCTTGGGCAAATTTCCCCCTTTGCTGATATGGGTGATTTAGCATCTGGCATAATAATATCATTCCATTTCATATTGTGCCAGTCTACCCATGAAATATAAAAACAAAACAGTTAGAGAATGGGGAAAAGTTGAAAGCAGCTCCCAAACTCTCCTCATTGTGTTCAGTGAGAACTTTCCTGAGTAAACTCTATTCACACACTCCTCATTTAGCTATCATTTAAATCTGTACTTTACCTAATGTTGCATTTTCAAACCAAATTACGTTAGTCTCATTGGCCACTATTCTTCTGGCAAAAAAGTAGACAGGTTACAAACAAATAATTACATAAACCTAACAATGTTTCTCATCAGACTTTTTAAAGTATATGTGGCTTAATATGAATCCATGGTTTTATGAGCATGTTCATTGAATTCTAAGGCAAAAAAGGTAAACTTGAATGTTTCTGCAAAAAATCCTTCTTAAAACAGGTTTGGACATTTTAAGATATTATTTAGACATTATTAGGTAATGTGGGATATGGATTTGCTTCTACAATTAAAATTTTATTTTATTTATTTAACTCAAATCTATTTTCCTATATTTTAGCACATTGCTTCTCATCATATTCTCAGTGAAACAGGTAACTTATTCTTTTCCATTATCTTTCTGGCATCTGTTCAATATTTGGAAATTGCCAGCAAAAATATATCCATTTACCTTCTTTCTCTAAGTAAGCATCCATTTTGTATTTTTAGAAAAATAGCTTTGCTTTATAGAGGCTGTTTTGAGTTAAAAGTGCATTTACACCGAAAGATATTAAATCAATGAGATTTATTGTGATTTAAGAATATTCAAGACAGGGGTAGAAAACAGTGTTGGATGCTTATCTGGAATTCTTTTGAGCTGCTTAGCTTTCGTCCAGTAAATTGCAAACATTTAAAAGTAACTTCCAACACAACGTAAGCAACAATTGTGATCGTTTTTGAAAATAATACTGCTCCTAATATAAATCTGGTTTTTGTGCTGTTGTATTGCAGGTTTGGTTGACAGGTGTTAGCACCCAGCCAACTTTGTCTGATCTTGAAAAGTTAAACAAGGTCAGACTTGATTAGTTTTCTTTATGGGAGTCTATCAGGAAATCCTGGGGCTATAATCAAGACTGCCAATATGTTTGAAAAAAACATATTGTAAAAATGCAGTTGCAATCTTCTTCCATATTGTTATGAAGTAAATTATATAGATAAGTTCATATAATCACCAGGTCTTAAATCCCATTATCAGTTGCAGCTGTTTTTCTTAGAGCATCTTAATTATAGAATGGCCAATACAGGTGCAATTTAAATTGTAAACAATGTTTTGCACTCTTTCCCTCCCTTCCTCTCTCACTCCCTTCTCCAATTCTAAATCCTCCCTTCCACCAATGATTGGGCTTTAGCTTGATTTAGTGCTACGATATTGACAATAATAGTATGTTTTTTTTTAAAAAAAAATTGCAGCAGGCTTCCATTCTTTTTCCAAATTTCCAAGTTTTCAAGACTGCAAGTTTCACTGTCTATATGGAAGGGGAAGCACAGTATTAAGTGGTTTCCCCCCAAAAAATAGAGTTTACTCAGGAAAACAAAATTATCCAAATAGTAACTTAGTATGCTGTGAGCAGTTGATTTGTTTGTTTAATTTCTATAGCTGCCCGTCTCAGTAAATGGCTCAGTTTACAGTTTGCAGATTGTTGTGAATTGTCTGCAGACCGTTGGTCCGAAATATTTTTCTCCATGTGACAAGAACATGATAGCACATGCCGACACATGTGCACATAGTAATGGTATGGTAATTTGGTAATCTAAAGTGTGACTTTTGTTGTACTTTTGTACAAACACAATCTTCTTTCTGTCTGAAAAAAAGGCAGTTGGGCCAGTAAGCCATGTTTTTCATTACAGAAGCCAACTGAACTAACTCATGAATCTTGTTTCCATGCTGATGATGGAGAACACTCCCCCCTGCTTTGGAGGACACGGACAATAGTTATATTAAACTATTTTCCAATGCTTTGTTGTGCTCCTTAAACTGTAACTGTGAGAGGGATCTTGGAGTCCTAGTGGACAACCATTTAAATATGAGCCAGCAGTGTGCAGCAGCTGCCAAAAAAGCCAACACAGTTCTAGGCTGGCTAAACAGAGGGTTAGAATCAAGATCATGTAAAGTGTTAATACCACTTTATAATGCCTTGGTAAGGCCACACTTGGAATACTGCATTCAGTTTTGGTCGCCACGACGTAGAAAAGATGTGGAGACTCTAGAAAGAGTGTAGAGAAGAGCAACCAAGATGATTAGAGGACTGGAGACTAAAACATATGAGGAACAGTTGTAGGATCTTAGTATGTCTAGTTTAATGAAAAAAAGCTCTACGGGAAACATGATCACAATGTTCCAATATCACAGGGGTTGCCACAAAGAAGAGGGAGTCAAGCTATTCTCCAAGGCATCTGAGGGTAGGACAAGAAGCAATGGGTGAAAACTAATCAAGGAGAGAAGCAATTTAGAACTGAGGAGAAATTTCCTGACAGTTAGAAGAAAAAATCAGTGGAACAACTTGCCTCCAGAAGTTGTAAATGCTCCAACATTGAAGTTTTTAAGAAGATGCTGGATAACCATTTGTCTGAAATGGTGTAGGGTTTTCTGCCTATGCAGGGGGTTGGACTAGAAGACCTCCAAGGTCCCTTCCAAATCCGTTGTTCTAATTCTAATACACTAGCTGGGAGACCTTCTTTATCCTGCTTGTATAAAAGGGACGATCCTGTATAAAACTGTTTGATGTGCTAAGGTTTCTCCTCAGATGAGTGTCGGTCAGAATCCATACTGCCTCTGAGGGTAAGTCATGACAATTACAATAATTCACATGTTCCCCTTCCCCTTGCTTCTCTTTCTGTACATTTTCTAATTGTAAATGTGTGGACAAAATCTATAGATAATCCTTATGCAGCACCCCAACATGGTAATAATTCCTAATAAACATAAGAGATTCCTAGGAATCAAGAGTTGCTGATAATATCTATTAATCCAGAAATTAAACTCTTAATTATTTCTATGACAGTGACTTCCATCCAATAGTCTATGGATATCTTATGGTAGGAAGTATGAATGAAAATGATTAAACATTTATTAGGACATTTTAGGCAATATATGAAACTTGGCATCCCCCAAGGGTGGGTTCCAGGTTTTGCTACTGCTGGTTCACTCAGAGACGTGCTTTGCACGTGTGTGTGCTTGATGCATGCTATGTGTACAAGCGCAATAGTAAAAAAAAATGCTTCTGTACCTGTGCAGAAGCAAAAAACAAGATGGCGGTGCCGTAGGATCAGTTCGGCAGGCCAAGTTACTACCTACTCGGCCAAACCGATCTGAACAGGTAAGAAGCCACTTCTGGCATGCCCAAAGTATAAAATATATTAATGTTTTTCATTACTTTAGATCAGTGTTTCTCAACCTTGTCAACTTGAAGATGTCTGGACTTCAATTCCCAGAATTCCCCAGCCAGCGAATGCTGGCTGGGGAATTGAAGTCCAGACATCTTCAAGTTGACAAGGTTGAGAAACACTGCTTTAGATGTTTAGGTCCTGTGGAATCTAGGTCCATATATGCAATGAAATTAACAATGTTCTATGATTATTTTTTTTTAGAAAAACCCTCTACCACAGACTAGCAGGCATTAGCCTTGCAATGCATATTTCATTTCATATATTCATATTTCCTATAAATCATGAACATATGATACTTACAGATCATGTGCTTATAGATGCTTATAGATACTTTCGGGTACAAAGAAAATCGTCTACATGATTTAAAAAAAAATGAAAATAAAGATGAATTGATCAGAAATTCTGCAGACCAGCTATTATCTTTTTATGCAAATGATTTAATCCAAATACAAAGTTAGATCTTACTGAGCGCCAATACAAAAGAAGCCACTCTATTAATTCTATCAATTTCAACTCATGTATGTTGAATTTCAATTACATCAACTCATGTACGCTGTTTTCATCCAATTAGTGCTGAAAAGAAGAATAAAATATCACATGCTTGTATGTCTGCTTCATTAGCACAGAGTTCACTGCCAATGGTTAAATAAGAATTTAAACTGTCAGAATGTTAAACAAGTCTAGCTTTTTAATTTTTAATGCTATTTTTATTTTTGAAAATGTTAAGATATAAAAGATAAACACAAAGCAAGTTAAGGAAAGTGAAATGAAAAAGTGAAAAAGCATAAGAGAGAAAACAAATTTAAACAAGAAAAATATGTCAAGAAACTACTTCCATTCTCTTTTACAATTACAAGCCAAGAAATCTACACAACGTTTCACAACTTCAGAACAATTAGATTATATTTTCCATCTTCACCTCATCCAGCAAATCCACAAATAATGGATTATTTCTCTCTTTCATTTTCAGCAACACACAAGATAAGCTAGAGATCATGCATTTACTAAATAAATGTGCGGAGATTTTCATTAAAAATGTGAGGTTCCCTAGCCAATCTGTTGGTCACTACCAGGTTATTGACTGTATTTTTGTTATTTCTGCCACTAAAATGATGCAAATGTTTGACTGTTTGCTCTCTTTAGGATCTGAACTTAACCTAAATGCATGAATAATTTTTATACCATATAAACTGGTGTAGATGGAAAGGGAATGATATCTATAAAAAAAACTTGGAAAATATGAGATGCCACAGAGCATCTCAAGGTATCAGTCAAGGTATTTATTTATACAACTGATCAACACATATGCAAAGCAGAACTCAGCTAAACATAAAGACTTCTGCTAGCTTTGCGGGTGCATGTGCCCCTTCCGCACATGCACCCGGCCTTTCGCGCATGTGCTTTGCTCGCATGTGCACTTTCCATGCATGCGCCTGGCTCAAAAATGTGCCTAAATAGGATAGCATAGAGCCAGGGTGAGTGGGCAGGCCCACCCACGATTTCTCCTACCAGTTCAGGCGAACTGGTACGAACCGGCTGAATTCCACCTCTGCTTTCCTCCATTTTTGTGCTCACTATCTAAAGAACTGAATTGATTTGGTATGGTGTTATCATGATCCATATGCCTAGAATAGTGCTACCAAAAACACCTGGGTAAAAATAAGGGCAAAAAATGTTTAAATATTCCAATCTGGGATTCTGAAGCAATGTTAGATTGGCTAGGCTTCAATGATCAGCTTTCTTAATCACTGTTCAGGTTTGGGAGTGAGGCAACCTGATGGTGAAAATACAAAATAGTGGCTGAAATAAATTTCGCATAAAGGATAGGAATCTATCTTTTCTTTCCACCCACGGGAGTGACTGAAATTTAAATGTTTGCGGATCATTTTAAAGAAAAACAATGATCACATCAGGTTGAAAGAAGCCAATGCCTTTTTCACACCCTCAAAAAGAAACAGAAGACCTCAAGTTTCACTTAAGAAACTCACTTGTGAGCCTGGTTGGGCAAACAGAGCAACAAAATAAATAATAATAAACATCCCACCTCCCTGTTGAAATGTGCTGGAACGCATGTTTTAGATAAAGAAACCAGGAACAAACATCATTAAAACTTTCTCTAGGGATGATCAAATATTTTGTTGCATTGGTTTGCTGTTGGTGTCATAAAGTGGACAGATATGAATAAGAGTTACATAATTGCCTTGGTATTTTTTATAATGTAAAAACTAGAACCCTTTGGAGAAGGTTGTCGATCCTTGAATAAAAGATC